GTTGCTATGGTGACCATGTAGTGTTGCTATGGCGACCATGTAGTGTTGCTATGGCGACCATGTAGTGTTGCTATGGCGACAATGTAGTGTTGCTATGGCGACCAGGTTATCAGCCTGGTAGAATGTATAACAGGTGCACTCTAACAGCCAGTATATCTGGTTATAATATGCGTTATAATTAGGTGCACTGCCTTATAATGCTATAATATAGACCCCTAACTATCAGGTGACTAACTTCCCATGTAAGGAATAATCCTTAGTCCAGATAAGATTTGCAGATATGATGTGATTTACTGGTTTTAGAGTCGGCTCTAAGAGATCCGTGCAAACCCCCATTTACCGTGCTAGTTGGGGTATCTAGTAAGTAGCAGCTAGATTACCGTGCTAGATACCCCGTACTGTAAACCGGGGTTTACTGTATCTTGTTATCTTATTACCGATAGTTACAGTTCATAACTGTGTAGTACCTATATACATTACCTCATAACTGCAGTTTTAGTTGCTTATCTCTCCGTCTTCTCTGTTACAATCAGATAACGTTACCATAGTAACACTAATAAGTAGACAGATTCTAATGTTTGCACCTGCCCGGCTGCCCCCCCCCCCCCCCCTCCCTCCTTGCACGTTATTTAACATAGCATCTATACAGCTGGGGATTACGGGTTTTACGTTGTTCGATATTTGTCGTGTTTTCAAGTGTGACAGTCCCACATCTTCCAGTCTGTTTCTCTTTTGCAGAAAACATTTGATTGTACTGATTGATACGACTTGTTTCTAAAGCTTTCAGTTTCAAGTAACATGGTCGTCTTCATATCTTTCTTTTCCGCGAAATTTATAGTAATGGCACTCGTCAGTCCCATAGTCCCATCTTCCCATATTGTATTATATATTTATTATTTCATATAACCAGTTCAGTATAAAGCTCTTAGTTGCTAGTTGGATCGTTGAACTGGATAACATTGGTTTGTCACTCTGCAACAAACATTTCAACTCTACTGTAACACTACTGTGCCACTACTGTAACACTACTGTAACGCCGCTTCATGCCTGCTCAGCTTATTGAGGTTAATAAGTGGAAAATAATAATAGTAATAAACTTTACTTTATTAACTCATACATCACGTGGGCGCTGGAGAGCATCACGTGGGCGCTGGAGAGCATCACGTGGGCGCTGGAGAGCATCACGTGGGCGCTGGAGAGCATCACGTGGGCGCTGGAGAGCATCACGTGGGCGCTGGAGAGCATCACGTGGGCGCTGGAGAGCATCACGTGGGCGCTGGAGAGCATCACGTGGGCGCTGGAGAGCATCACGTGGGCGCTGGAGGGCATCACGTGGGCGCTGGAGAGCATCACGTGGGCGCTGGAGAGCATCACGTGGGCGTGGAAAAAACCGGTGCAATTATGTAAATAATAAGTGGCCGTCAAATAGGTAAAAAGTGGAGTTATAGTTCTAATGCAAAGATACAACCAAAGAACAAATAATGATAACTCAAAACAGATAAAAACATAATTAGTACAGACAAATCCGTCTGAAAAAATCGATCTGCTGACACACGAAGCTTTCAGAGGATTTTTGACGTTTTTGAGTCCCATTAGGTGCCCTTTATGGCTGACCAACTTTTCCAAACTTTTCCACTTGTCTTAAGGCCACTTTTTGCCACTTTACCACTTTTTACCACCTTTCTTGTTTGTCGAATATCTTTAGTTGTGAACATCGTAAAAGGTTGCGGATCAATCGAGTGTGTTCATATTATCAGGAAGAAAAACTTTTGTTCAAACAATTTTTACGTCAGATAATAAGTTAATTGGATAATTATCCATTAACTAATTAGCAAAATTCTAAAAATTTTTTATTGGCTCAAAATGATCGGAATAGCTTGAAACACGGAGAAAAGTATTTTTTAGAAAAACTTTGAAAATTTTTCACTTACATTTTTTTTTCGAGACTTAAAAAATTTCGAAAATTCAAAATATTTTTTCCGCCAAATGTGATCAAACCGCATGAAACACGGAGAAAAATGCCTTTCAAAAAAATTTAGTGAATTTTTCGTTTCAAGAATACTTAAATCGCCAATATTTGTAGTTGGAGTTCAGTAAATCTCGGCAGATTTTAGTAAACAGGAATTACTAAGTGAAGAGGTCTGAAACTGAAAAACGTTAACCATACGATCGCGCGGCGATATAAGAGTTTCATAAACTAATTTTCACAGAAATTGCACCAATGGCACAGTCAAGATCGAAACGATAGCCTGCTGTACTGTCATTTTATTGATTTCAATGATGAATCAGTGGGGTTAAGATAATCACATTTGTAATAAATAAACATCTCTGTACCGTCAATTGTGCTAATCTAAACCAGCCTACCTGTATTACCAGACCTCTTCTTTTCCTCGACAATCAAACCAAGTTGTTCATATCGCATTTGGTGGGTGATGTAAGTAGTAATACATATCGAGCTGTATTCAATCACAATACGACACAATGCAATACGTGTATATTATATTATGGCCCTTAATGAGGTATATGAAACGTTATATACCGTACACTTCTCGTTACTCCAGTGAGAGGCCCAGTATGGAGAGGTTTAACAGTTTAGCACGAAAACGTTTACTTGGCCTCATGGCTCTTTGACAGCTCAAAGAAGGCGAGAAAAGACCAGAAAGCTTAAATTTTCAACTCCACATTAATCCTGAGCTGATCATCATGGCCCCGAATATCCTACAGGAAGAACCTGTATTTTTACCTCACGACGTCCGGATTTCAAATCAACACCCTCAATAACATTAACAATCCTTCCTGATCAGGATCTGTCTCTATCTAAGATGGCAAGTACGTACGGTACAGGGCTTTAAGTACGTACGGTACAGCTACTTTAAAAGGTACGTACCGTACAGGCACTGTAAGGTACAATTTTTTTTTCAAATTTTTAGAATCAACTTCAGTGAATTACTTGCAATTTTTGATTAGTATTATCATCATAATTTTTGTACCGGATCGCTCTTAACCGGTACTACACTACTACTACTTGTAATTATCGTTAAACTCAAAGCTTCATCCTTTTGTTGCAGTATACGAACACCAGCTTTTCAGCTAGCTCAGATCGCAAACTTAATCTACGCTTGTCCATAATATACTCGTAATCTCTAAAATTGGTCTCATAAATTGACAAAGAACTTAAAACACTGAATACTATTTGGGCCAACTGTTTAAGCAGAAAAAGTTTTCCTCCAAAATATTTCCAGTATATTGACGGATTAATAAGCTTTGTACCTTTCAGCCTACTTTATTAAGTACGTACCGTACAGCTAATTTAAAGGTACGTACCGTACGTACTTACCATCTTAGGTCTCTATTAGCAATTTCCAAAATATCCTGACTCTCGTGGAACATTTCACTGAATTAATTATTACTGGTTTTTTATTACCCCTTGCCCGTCATTCGTATCTACATCTTACCCTTGCCAGTATGTTACCCTTGCTGATTTTACGTTTAGCCGACCCTGACATATGGGGGTGATTTGAGGTAACCACCGATCCAGCATAGTAAATGAAGCGGTATGCAGAACAATACAAAACAAGTCACAGTTGATGTTGGAAGGTGTATTTACACTTGCTTCCTGGACCTGGCTGTTCCTTAGTTTCCCTGATCTGTTCTTGCCTTCTTCGAACTGTAAATGAGCCATGAGGCCAAGTATACGTTTTCGTGATAAACTTTAAAACGTCTCTATACCGGGTTTCTCACGGTATAAAGCGTTACATAAACCTCATTAGTCATTAAGAGCCATATAATATACACGTATTGTGTCGTAGTCTGATTGAATACAGCTCGATATGTATTAGTTTCAATACTTTCAACACTATACTATATAACAAATAATTTTAATGACAGGATGGATTACTGAGGGCACTGTGTTAAGGTGATTTAAGTGGGTCCCAATTCCCACCGACCATTCTTCTTTGTGTTATGAATACTTGCTTCATCATCTCCTTTTAATAAAAATCACGGTGTCTTTATTGACTAAGCGCATTACTACTTACATCACCCACCAAATGCGATATGAACAACTTGGTTTGATTGTCGAGGAAAAGAAGAGGTCTGGTAATACAGGTAGGCTGGTTTAGATTAGCACAATTGACGGTACAGAGATGTTTATTTATTACAAATGTGATTATCTTAACCCCACTGATTCATCATTGAAATCAATAAAATGACAGTACAGCAGGCTATCGTTTCGATCTTGACTGTGCCATTGGTGCAATTTCTGTGAAAATTAGTTTATGAAACTCTTATATCGCCGCGCGATCGTATGGTTAACGTTTTTCAGTTTCAGACCTCTTCACTTAGTAATTCCTGTTTACTAAAATCTGCCGAGATTTACTGAACTCCAACTACAAATATTGGCGATTTAAGTATTCTTGAAACGAAAAATTCACTAAGTTTTTTTGAAAGGCATTTTTCTCCGTGTTTTATGCGGTTTGATCACATTTGGCGGAAAAAATATTTTGAATTTTCGAAATTTTTTAAAGTCTCGAAAAAAAAATGTAAGTGAAAAATTTTCAAAGTTTTTCTAAAAAATACTTTTCTCCGTGTTTCAAGCTATTCCGATCATTTTGAGCCAATAAAAAATTTTTAGAATTTTCCTAATTAGTTAATTGATAATTATCCAATTAACTTATTATCTGACGTAAAAATTGTTTGAACAAAAGTTTTTCTTCCTGATAATATGAACACACTCGATTGATCCGCAACCTTTTACGATGTTCACAACTAAAGATATTCGACAAACAAGAAAGGTGGTAAAAAGTGGTAAAGTGGCAAAAAGTGGCCTTAAGACAAGTGGAAAAGTTTGGAAAAGTTGGTCAGCCATAAAGGGCACCTAATGGGACTCAAAAACGTCAAAAATCCTCTGAAAGCTTCGTGTGTCAGCAGATCGATTTTTTCAGACGGATTTGTCTGTACTAAATATAACATAATAGCAAAACAACAAAACAACTTCGCAGGTTGGGGAGGCTATAAAGATACCGCACAATGACAAGTACTGTACAAAGTGCGCTGAGAAGGTCGCCATGGAAACTGGAAAACTCACCGAAAAATTAATTGAACTGAAATGTAAGTAAAAGTGAGACTTAGATATAAATATTGATTGATTGCTAGGTCAATAAAATGTGTGAAATATTGACTAATTAACCAGTAAAATGTGTGAAATATTGACTAATTAACCAGTAAAATGTGTGAAATATTGACTAATTACCAGTAAAATGTGTGAAATATTGACTAATTAACCAATAAAATGTGTGAAATATTGACTAATTAACCAGTAAAATGTGTGAAATATTGACTAATTAACCAGTAAAATGTGTGAAATATTGACTAATTAACCAGTAAAATGTGTGAAATATTGACTAATTAACCAGTAAAATGTGTGAAATATTGACTAATTAACCAGTAAAATGTGTGAAATATTGACTAATTAACCAGTAAAATGTGTGAAATATTGACTAATTTACCAGTGGAGGCGGACCGGCAGAAAGTACAATTTGATACGATGAAACGGAAGCTTGACAACACGTCAAAGGAACTCAAGACGGCCCAGGCTATGATAGAGACTCTCAAGGACCAAAACCACGAGAAAGCAAACAGAATAGCCAAGTTAGTCTTAAACTCTATAAACCTGCACGAACACGACAGTTTGTTCCACTACGAACAGCTGCACGAACACGACAGTTTGTTCCACTACAAACTTGCACGAACACGACAGTTTGTTCCACTACGAACAGCTGCACGAACACGACAGTTTGTTCCACTACAAACCTGCACGAACACGACAGTTTGTTACACTTCAAACCTGCACGAACACGACAGTTTGTTCCACTACGAACAGCTGCACGAACACGACAGTTTGTTCCACTACAAACTTGCACGAACACGACAGTTTGTTCCACTACAAACCTGCACGAACACGACAGTTTGTTACACTTCAAACCTGCACGAACACGACAGTTTGTTCCACTACGAACAGCTGCACGAACACGACAGTTTGTTCCACTACAAACTTGCACGAACACGACAGTTTGTTCCACTACAAACAGCTGCACGAACACGACAGTTTGTTCCACTAAAAACAGCTGCACGAACACGACAGTTTGTTCCACTACAAACTTGCATGAATACGACAGTTTGTTACACTACAAACCTGCACGAACACGACAGTTTGTTCCACTACAAACTTGCATGAATACGACAGTTTGTTACACTACAAACTTGCATGAATACGACAGTTTGTTACACTACAAACCTGCACGAACACGACAGTTTGTTCCACTACAAACTTGCACGAACACGACAGTTTGTTCCACTACAATATTGCACGAACACGACAGTTTGTTCCACTACAAACCTGCACGAACACGACAGTTTGTTCCACTACAAACCTGCACGAACACGACAGTTTGTTCCACTACAAACCTGCACGAACACGACAGTTTGTTCCACTACAAACCTGCACGAACACGACAGTTTGTTCCACTAAAAACTTGCACGAACACGACAGTTTGTTCCACTACAAACCTGCACGAACACGACAGTTTGTTCCACTACAAACCTGCACGAACACGACAGTTTGTTCCACTACAAACCTGCACGAACACGACAGTTTGTTACACTACAAACCTGCACGAACACGACAGTTTGTTCCACTACAAACTTGCACGAACACGACAGTTTGTTACACTACAAACCTGCACGAACACGACAGTTTGTTCCACTACAAACCTGCACGAACACGACAGTTTGTTCCACTACAAACCTGCACGAACACGACAGTTTGTTCCACTAAAAACTTGCACGAACACGACAGTTTGTTCCACTACAAACCTGCACCTCCTCACCTCAGGCTAGCACGTGAAGCTACAATAGGGCTGTGGAACAGGGAGAAGAAGAAGCTGCTCCAGTTTGCTGACGTAAGAGAGGCCTCCCTGGAGTACGAGCTCACTTCCCTAAAAGACTCTAGTCAGCAGTTTAAAGACAGGGCACTGGACAGAATAAAGTTCCTGCACGATCAGGTCTACCAGTTAAAACTGAGACTCAACTTACAAAGCTCTGATAATCACTTTAACAAAGTTCTGGACGCTGCTGAAAAGAAGCTGCAGTCAACTAAACAGGTACACTGGTATATTGTGAGATAAGAGACCTTTCAAGAGTGTCAGGGTTTATCTCACTCTCTTTCTAATTTTAAGCATTGTTCATTGCACATTTAACTCATCGATGATGTCCAGAAATTTCATAAATTTATGATTGAGAGAGTTTAGCTGTTATCTAAGGCTCTAAGGGCACTCTAATACCTTATTCTAAAGTTCTAACTCTAATATTTTAGTATTACAAACAGGAGCTGAACACCCAAAAAGAAGAGTTCTTCAAATTCCGGAAGAACATGGTCGGAATGTTATCTGGATTCCACAAGGACTTTGTGTGAGTTACTATATTATATATATACTACTTGTGTGAGTAGTTGTTGATTCCAAAACATAAGGTTTTGTGAATTTTTGATATAATGGGTATAGATAATTATGAAACAAGCGAAACACTTGAAATTTAATGCTCCTGTTTTCCAATTCAGCATTAACGGCTCGTTAACTAACTAAATAATTAATTAATTAACTAACTAACTAACTAACTAATTAATTAACTAACTAACTAACTAACTAACTAACTAACTAACTAACTAACTAACTAATTAATTAATTAATTAATTAACTTGTCAGATTGTTAACTAATTAATTAATTAATTAATTAATTAATTTGTCAGATTGTTGACGGACCAGGTAGACCCACAGACCTACGAAGCAAATGCTGAGTTCTTCGACCACGCAGAAAACTTTGATAGAATGCTAGGAGATCTGCACAAAGCGGCTTTAACAGATAACCTCAATGATTCAGTGGAGAAACTACCAGAACAGTTCTCTATTGTAAGTTATTTTACACACTGTTACATGTTGTACCCCAGACGCAGTACGTCTATTAATGTTATTAACATTATATATAGCGTAAAAAGTAAATCAAGTTAGACAAAATTAAAAAAAAAACAATTGTGCTAATCACTAATGTAATGTTTACAAACAGACGGAGAAACAAAAGAACGATATGTTAAAGACCCACACAAGAAGAGAGAAGGAAAGAAAAGAAATGAGGACAGTGATACAGAGCAGGCTCACGATCTATCTCGCCAGGTATACACTCCTTATATGGGCATCACGTGTAGTATACACTCCTTATATGGGCATCACGTGTAGTATACACTCCTTATATGGGCATCACGTGTAGTGTACAGATTACAGGTACTGTCTTTCTGTGTTAGCTTCCACTGTAATTTCCCATTCAATATAATATGTATTATTAATTGAATCGTCAAATTACATGATCAAACAAATGATTGGACACACAAATATCCCGTAAGCTAATTGTGAACCAGAAAATATTCAATAGATCTTTAAGAAAGTGTCGTAGACGAAACGCAATTTAGCATTAACCCTTTTGAATAGAAATAACACTTTGAATAGAAATAACCCTTTGAAATATTAAAGTAAGAGGAACCAAAATATGAAACTTCCGCTAAAAAGACTGCAAAACTGATATTTAATAGTTATATCAATATCTAAACTACACCCTGCTACTAGTACTAGACTTAGAGTAATATCATACACAACAATAGTTAACCATATCATCAAAATAGAACACATTTCAGGACAGTTTATCGGAAGCGGAGATATTAAAGAAGCTAGAAAGTATTGAAGATGCGTTACATCAGAGCTCTAGAGAACTGAAAGGTACCTTATCGGACTTTATTTGAACGGACATTAATTGGACGCTGGAGGCCCTAGTGTTCATTTTAATGTCCGTTTAAATAAAGTCCGACAAGGTAGTTAAATTATATATATTTAATGAAAGCCTTTGAGCGTTCATTTTATTTTTAATGTCCGTTCAAAATTATCTCCGTTCACAAAATGTCCGGTCAAATAACGGGACCTTTACAGATAGTTGAAATTCGTCATTTAGCGTCAGATGTCGAATTTTAACTATCGGTAAAGGTCCAAATAACGTCCGATAAGGTATGTAGTATATATAGTCACTATATATAATATAGTATTTGTGTAGGTAATATACCAATATTGGTTGTAATACTTATACATATAATATGACTTTCAGAGTTTTAACAAACTAAAGTAGTGTAACCCTCCTACACTAGAAAATAATTCTACAATTGTTGATAATTAATTGGTTCGATTTTTCCTAAAACTTTTCACTTCCAACCCACTCACAGATTTCGACGCTAAAATGAACGATATTGATATAGCGGATATAAACGATAGCGGGATTTCTCTGAACGACTACGAGGCAATGACATTGTCACGTGCAAACAGCGATACAGCGCGCGACACCCCTACTTCTTCTGGTTTCCACGACAACCGCAGAGGAAATGCTGACAAAACTGTTAGATTCGAACAAATAGATACTAATAAAATCGGTAAATATTCCAAAAAAAAAATGTAGAGAATATCACTAATATTACTAAAATTACTAATTAATACTAATAATATTATGTTTCGTTTTTCGCTCTTTTGAGTGGTTCGATCATGATAGAAATGAGAGTCTCCACTCACTGTAAAAAAATCAATACTAATATAATATTTCGTTCGTTCGTTCGTTCGTTCGTTCGTTCGTTCGTTCGTTCGTTCGTTCGTTCGTTCGTTCGTTCGTTCGTTCGTTCGTTCGTTCGTTCGTTCGTTCGTTCGTTCGTTCGTTCGTTCGTTCGTTCGTTCGTTCGTTCGGCATATAATAATAACAATAACGATCCTTTCTCTCAGAAGCAAGCTGGCGAGGAAGACGTGGAACTAATCCAAACAATCCAAACACTTCAAGCAAATCCGTACAAACGGACCACTTGCCACAGTCAGTTCCCAATTCCTTAGTTACACAGTCAGTTCCCAATTCCTTAGTTACACAGTCAGTTCCCAATTCCTTAGTTACACAGTCAGTTCCCAATTCCTTAGTTACACAGTCAGTTCCCAATTCCTTTATAGTTACACACTAAAATCCATAGTTACACAGTTGTGCACTAAATTCCTTAGTTACACAGTTGTGCGCTAAATCAAGTGCGCTCACAGTTCACACTAAATCGCTTGCCACAATTTAAACAAAAATTATTGTGAAAAGGCCCTGAGGGTATGAAAGTAATATAAATCGGTGTATTTTTGAACGCTGCTTCCGACGTAGGGTAAAAATGCTTCCCTGGAGAGTTATGAGCAAAAAATATACGGTTCTGTGTCTATAGCTATATATACAAATAACTGTTTCATTATAAAACGGTACTTTATTTCAGGTTGGATTCGCGGTCTCCCCCACTCAGTAGACGAGGAAAGAGAAACAGAAAGGGAAAACCACGTGACAGGTCCGGGAGCTCTACTCCCACTAATAAGAAGAAGGTTCCTAAGAAAGTGAGTTATAGTAGTACAAAGTAAGAAAGTGTAATTGTAAGGTAATTGTGAGGTAATCGTGAGGTAATTGTGAGGTAATATTAGCAGTTTGTATATGATGAAATTAAAGATTTACATTGATCAGTTATACTGTTATAGTAGTACAAAGTAATCACCTCTCTTAGCTGGATCCTGGTGCGAGAATAAAAGAAGAACAAGCTCTGCAGAAACAATGGTTAGATTCCCAAAACAAGGAGACTTCCAAATCTGAGGGTATTCCTAATACTAAGAGCAAGGTAATCTCGCAAGTAGAAATTATTACTTTACAAATACATAATAAGAATTGCATACAATGTCCCTGTAATGTTAACTTCCTGTAAACGGATTAAACGGATTAAACGGATTAAACGTTAATTGGTCAAGAGAAGCCCTAACACTCCTGGCTTGACAATACAAGAATGAAATCATAACCTAGAAATCAGATACGAAAACCGTGAAAAAACAAATATCCTGTAATGTTAACTCCCTGTAATGTTAACTCCCTGTAATGTTAACTCCTTATAATGTTAACTCCTTGTAATGTTAACTCCTTGTAATGTCAACTCCCTGTAATGTTAACTCCTTGTAATGTTAACTCCCTGTAATGTTAACTCCTTTTAATATTAACTCCTTGTAATCAGTAATGGTAACTCCCTGTAATGTTAACTCCTTGTAATGTTAACTCCTTATAATGTTAACTCCTTGTAATGTTAACTCCTTATAATGTTAACTCCTTATAATGTTAACTCCTTGTAATGTTAACTCCCTGTAATGTTAACTCCTTGTAATGTTAACTCCTTATAATGTTAACTCCCTGTAATGTTAACTCCTTGTAGTGGTAACTCCCTGTAATGTTAACTCCTTGTAATGTCAACTCCCTGTAATGTTAACTCCTTGTAATGTTAACTCCCTGTAATGTTAACTCCTTTTAATATTAACTCCTTGTAATCAGTAATGGTAACTCCCTGTAATGTTAACTCCTTGTAATGTTAACTCCTTATAATGTTAACTCCTTGTAATGTTAACTCCTTATAATGTTAACTCCTTGTAATGTTAACTCCCTGTAATGTTAACTCCTTGTAATGTTAACTCCTTGTAATGTTAACTCCTTATAATGTTAACTCCTTATAATGTTAACTCCTTGTAATGTTAACTTCCTGTAATGTTGACTCCCTGTAATGTCAACTCCTTGTAGTGGTAACTCCCTGTAATGTTAACTCCTTGTAATGTTAACTCCCTGTAATGTTAACTCCATGTAATGTTAACTCCCTGTAATGTTAACTCCCTGTAATGTTAACTCCCTGTAATGTTAACTCCCTGTAATGTTAACTCCCTGTAATGTTAACTCCTTGTAATGTTAACTCCCTGTAATATTAACTCCTTGTAATGTTAACTCCCTGTAATGTTAACTCCCTGTAATGTTAACTCCTTGTAATGTTAACTCCCTGTAATGTTAACTCCTTGTGATATTAACTCCTTGTAATGTTAACTCCCTGTAATGTTAACTCCCTGTAATGTTAACTCCTTGTAATATTAACTCCTTGTAATCAGTAATGGTAACTCCCTGTAATGTTAACTCCTTGTAATGTTACCTCCTTATAATGTTAACTCCTTGTAATGTTAACTCCTTATAATGTTAACTCCTTGTAATGTTAACTCCTTATAATGTTAACTCCTTGTAATGTTAATTCCTTGTAATCTTAATAAGTTAATAATTTCCTGTTATAACCTTAACTCCTTGTAAGTTGTAATGTAAATAAATTTATTATAATTCCACACAGAAGAAGAGGTCGCCCTCATCTAAGAGCCGTCAGAACAGTAACATAACGTTCACCCACCTTCGGGATCTGTACGGAGAGAAGAAGGTTACAAGTCTCATAGACAGGACCTCCGGAGCTGTGGACGTGGACATGGCTGCTCAGCAGTTTCCTAATCTCACACGTGAGCTATTAGCATATACATATAATAGGGTTTCCTAATCTCACACGTGAGCAATTAGCATATATAATAGGGTTTTCTAATCTCACACGTGAGCAATTAGCAATAAGCATATATAATAGGGTTTTCATAATCAATTTGGAATGTAATATGAGACGATATCATGGATCGGGAAGAAATTGAGTGGCCATCCGCATTAGAAATGCGGCCGCATTCCTTGTTAAATTCGGTTTTACTCTGATTCAGCTGAAAATCCACATAAAAACCTAATTTTGTTTAGGAGTCGGGATAGTAGAGGGGTTTACGCACTTCGTGGACCATGACTCTAATAACGACTACAGACTTGATATGAACGAAGTGATCAGAGCCATCAGCAGGGCCACTGACCAAGTTGTGGATCAGGAGGAGGTCAAGGTATGCAGCTGTACCCCTCTCCCCCCTCCTCCCCCCTCCCCCTCCCCCTACTCCATCCCCTTCCCCCCTCCCCCCTCCCCCCTCCCCCCCTCCCCCCTCCCCCCTCCCCCCTCCCCCCTCCCCCCTCCCCCTACTCCATCCCCTTCCCCCCTCCCCCCTCCCCCCTCCCCCCTCCCCCCTCCCCCCCTCCCCCCTCCCCCCCTCCCCCCTCCCCCCTCCCCCCTCCCCCCTCCCCCCCTCCCACCTCCCCCCTCCCCCCCTCCCCCCTCCCCCTTCCCCCCTCCCCCCTCCCCCCTCCCACCTCCCCCCTCCCCCTACTCCATCCCCTTCCTCCCTCCCCCTACTCCATCCGACCATCCCCTTCCCCCTACCCCATCCCATGGGTACCTTAAACATATAACTCAATACCTAACAACTAACAAGGATTCTTGAAACAAAACAATTCCCCATCTTAGGCAGCGCTATTTGAGTTAGGAGTTCTGGAAACAGATGAACTTGACTTCTTCGACTTCCTCTGTATTCAAGAAACTCTGACAACAGGCACATTCGGTAGAATAACATTTTATTAAAGTATTAACACCTTATTATATTAAATGTTTGGTATTTCTGTAAGATTATACCAATTATCTTTATTATTATTATGTTAATGGTTATGTTTTTAACACCTGAAGTACACCTGAAGTTCTCTTTTCAGACAAAAGTAAGAGTAATATGTTACGGATGCAAGGACTCAACGCTAGCAAGAAATCTACTGTGTCAAAATACTGTGCTGTGATGTAAGGACATATCACGTGATAAGATGCCCTTATAAGGACATATCACGTGACATGATGCCCTTACAAGGACACATCACGTGATAAGATGCCCTTATAAGGACTTATCACGTGATAAGATGCCCTTATAAGGACATATCACGTGACATCATGCCCTTATAAGGACATATCACGTGACATGATGCCCTTATAAGGACACATCACGTGATAAGATGCCCTTATAAGGACTTATCACGTGATAAGATGCCCTTATAAGGATATATCACGTGACATCATGCCCTTATTAGGATATATCACGTGACATGATGCCCTTATAAGGACATATCACGTGACATCATGCCCTTATAAGGACATATCACGTGACATCATGCCCTTATAAGGATATATCACGTGACATGATGCCCTTATAAGGACACATCACGTGATAAGATGCCCTTATAAGGACTTATCACGTGATAAGATGCCCTTATAAGGATATATCACGTGACATCATGCCCTTATTAGGATATATCACGTGACATGATGCCCTTATAAGGACATATCACGTGACATCATGCCCTTATAAGGACATATCACGTGACATCATGCCCTTATAAGGATATATCACGTGACATCATGCCCTTATAAGGATATATCACGTGACATGATGCCCTTATAAGGACACATCACGTGATAAGGTGCCCTTATAAGGACATATCACGTGACATCATGCCCTTATAAGGACATATCACGTGATAAGATGCCCTTATAAGGACATATCACGTGACATCATGCCCTTATAAGGATATAACATTCAACCAATCTAAGTTGATCTAAGAGGTCCTTATAAGTTATAATGCTACCTGAATATTATCACGAGTTTCTGAATGGCTCATAATGTCTGAGGCAGGGTTTGAAAATGTACATAATATTAATATCAAATATTTTAATTTAACATACACCATGATAATTCCAATTTTAATTTGTTATAATTAGCCAAATTTATAAAGGCTGTGTTCGTAGTTTTGCAAATTATTGAAACTGTTAAACAAAAGTATACACCACGTGTCACGTGTCACACCACGTGTCACGTGTCACACCACGTGTCACGTGTCACACCACGTGTCACACCACGTGTCACGTGTCACGCCACGTGTCACACCACGTGTCACGTGTCACGCCACGTGTCACACCACGTGTCACGTGTCACGCCACGTGTCACACCACGTGTCAAGTGTCACACCACGTGTCACGTGTCACACCACGTGTCACGCCACGTGTAACACCACGTGTCACACTTTAATAGTTGGGGTTCCCAACTAAGTGCTCTGATTTGGAACCCAATAACTTTACTGCTTTACTGCTTTACTGCTTTACTGCTTTACTGCTTTACTGCTTTACTGCTTTACTGCTTTACTGCTTTACTGCTTTACTGCTTTACTGCTTTACTGCTTTACTGCTTTACTGCTTTACTGCTTTACTGCTTTACTGCTTTACTGCTTTACTGCTTTACTGCTTTACTGCTTTACTGGACCACTCTCAACCGTTTGTACGGTAAAAATAGGTTTATTAAAGTATTTTAATTTCATATTCCCTATCGTTTCCAGTAGAAAGTTAACCTACTTATAATAAAATCTAGCTACTGTGTGTAGTACTGCATGTGTTCAGGGACCCTTACCACGTGATGCCCATATAAGGAAATGTAAAGTTGTTACTTTATAGTTTTACTGAACATTTTGTCGGCTGTAAATACTTTTACAGTGAGTTTTTATCTCTGTAATTACATTCAAGTATCGAAATTATGAAATATTCGTATTATTTCTCAACTAGAAAAAATTAGTAAAATATTACTGGGCCGCGCTCAGCCTGTCATTCCGCCGAATTTCTATTTATGAACATAATAGCCTGAGGTCCCCAGGTAAGTAAAATAATATTCATTATATTCAATGTTTATCAAGAAATTTGACTGTTTTATAGTGCATTGCTCTCCATATTGATAATGTAATGATAATGTAATGCGAATTCACGGTGGCTATATATTGCGTCTCGTAACAATAATACTAGTATGATTATTACTATGATGAATTAATAGTACGTAATACCGGATGCTCTATAGGCAATTGCTTTTTGTTGATATCCTGTTCGTAAAAATGCTTATGTACAGCTTAACAATCGAATTGTTTCAATCCGAGTACCTGATCATGATGGACATTAATTGGTCTCTGGGCAAAATCTCCATCCAATCTGTCAAATTTGTGTTCATAAATTTTCATATTTGCAAATGGGACAGAAATTGGAAAATATGAATTTTCGTTTTGTTAAGCTTTCTGCTATGAGCTTCCTCCGACCAAAATTTTCTGTACGTTGCATACCTCTCTCGTGCACGCGATCAAAAGGTGTTGCAGCGTGTACTGTCAAACCGAAATCAAACCAGCACCTCAATCGTGTCATATGCCATTTAATTTTATAGTTGACTGGCTAATTGGTTGCGGGTAAGAAATTCGGTGTAAAATTTCGGGCCTGGAAGATAATGGGGCAATATTATTTTAAAACTTTCTTCCGGATTTTGACTTCCAGTACCTCAATTTGTTGTAGCGCCGCGCGATGCACTACTACTACTAGTAGTGTACTGGGCCGTGCCGCGCATTTTCTGATCTCGCAACCACGTATGCAGATCGGCGAGATGCGAAGGATTGACATCGTGAATCAACTCAATTTGGTTTCATACCATCATCATGATCAATTAAGCAATTTAACGAATGCTTGCAGAGGGAATGGCACGTAAAATGAGGATATCAACCTTGGTATACAACAGGTACATTGCTAGGAGATAATGAGTTTGGAACTTGGAACACCTCGCTCAAGGGACCCATCAGAAACAAATTAGGTTTGGGCAGAAATTAGGCTTGCAGTGCAATTGACCACGCCCTTTTGTGACATTTAAATAAAAATAACTCTACTTCTGATTGGACTAGTAAGAAGTTTGATTTTACCATTAAAATGTTTAGAATCATCACATTTGCTTTTATATTAGGGGAGTAGAGCATGAATTCAGTTTTTGAGTTGACTGGCCATGCCTAGTTTACGAAAATAATAACATTAAACAAGGTAAATTTGCATGTTAAAACGTTAATTGGGAACCTATTAATTGTGAAATCTTAAATGTAAATTCGGACGTATATAGTACCAGTTCGACCAAAAAGTTGGCAAAATAAAATTGTTTGTCTAATGTTCCAATAATTCAAAGTCAAATGCATTGTTGCTAAAATCACTACTTCTGACTTTCTGATTGATATAAATTCCTTTCTAATGATTTAAACACTGGTGAATCTCTCATTTGCTTAGTGTAATATTAGTTAGCTGTTAACTAGAGTAAGTTATATCACACGTTAGTGTTATCGAATGTTTTGTCTAATGTGTCAGCTGTTTTCCACAGGTCCATAACCTTGAGATGTTTGAGAAGATCGTCCAGTTTAGACTCCGGTAACCTGGACCAGTGGTCCAGCAGAGCCTGGCCAGGGTCTGGGTAATCCTGAGAAAAGGAGGCGATCTGGGAGTTCTCGTAGCCGAGTCTCTGTGCTAGCTCCTTCCACTCCTCTCCCAGCAGCTTAACATGAGGCATTGTTCTGCGGAGTGAGTTCTCAGAGTAGGGACTGAGTGGACGAGGGACCACACCTTCCACAGGGGGCATTGCCCCGGACCAAGTGTCCAGCCGTCCCGGCCTCTCAACGTCCATAATGGTCTGGAGGTGGAACTCTCTAGAAGCTGAGTTTCTCTGTTGCTCCAGAAGAGAGTGCTTTCTGTCTAGTAAGATAGGTCTATCAGGAGCATCCACAGCTACCTCCCTGTAAACTGGCTCCTTAGTAGGACGCGGGAACCCCTTCCTCCTCTCCGGAGACATGCCTGGGTTTCTAGCCGGGAGGGCGGGGGGACTCCCTGTTTCAGAAGGTACTGGTTTTGAGGGTTCCACCAGCTTTGAGGGGATGGTATCAAGGTCATATTTGGATGGTGAGGTTAGACTCATCAAACTACCGTTTAGGGACTTAGGTTGGTAGAGAGGTCTCTTGGACCTGGCAGCTACAGGAGCAGCTGGAGAAGCAGCTGGAGAAGCAGCTACAAGAGCAGCTAGAAGCAGCTACAGCAGGGGTTATAACTGGCACATCAGGAGCCTCGTTACGAGGGACTGATTTAGGACTGCTTCCTGATGTGGAGCCAGGTAGAGGGCTCCCTCGGATCGGACTCCCAGGAGCGGAGCTGTTGGGATCCAGAGGGCTGGAGAACTTGAACCTGCCGTGGTTCTGTCTGGAGAGCACTACGAATGTGGTGCCTATATGGTAGGGGTCGTACAAGTTGTCTCCACGGAGGGTGATGTCTGGGTGAGGGTCCCTGTCGGGCAGTGGAGGAGGGGTTAGAAGCTGCTCCTCCCGCTTGGGACGGTTGTTGGTGTCCGTAATCACGTGATTAGTAGTCAGGTTGGGGTCACATTCAGGTTCATACACCTCCTCATAAGAACTGGGAGCCTGGTTTTGCACGGGCACGAAGTGGGAGTGGAGCTCTGGAACCTCGGTTAAAGACAACACCTCCAACTCTAGCTGGTCAGTGATGGGGACCCCCTCATCTCCAGGAAGTTCCAGAGTCTGTGTAGACAGATACAGCATCTCCGGTTGTGGAGATGAGTCCCTCTCAGATGGTAGCGGGGACAAGTCCCTCTCAGATGGTAGCGGGGACAAGTCCCTCTCAGATGGTAGCGGGGACAAGTCCCTCTCAGATGGTAGCGGGGACAAATCCCTCTCAGCATTATAAAAGTGCTCTTGTTTAGCTGGGTGGTAAACTTGTGGTAGTTCAGTAGTAGAGGTGGTTTTATCGTTTTGCCCAGTGGGAGATTGGGGAGAAGAGTGGTATCGGGCCCGGTAGTAAGGGGACTTGTCAGGGTAATAAGGGGACTTGGGCCGGTCTTCTGCCTCTCTTAAACTGAAACAGAAGTCAGGTTAGTGTTTCTTAACCTGATTATTGTTTTGATATATTGGAGTGCTCACTTTCAGCCCAATTTCTACTCCATTTTCATAACTAGAGGTAGAAAGTAACTCATATTCATTACGAGAGTGTTCACTGTTCATTATGATCTATCAACACGTTTTGACGGAGTTTCTGAAAATCTACATTTTTCTGTTTCACATCAGCAAGTGGAGGGGGAAGTGTTCCGTCTGATTTGCTAGGTTCTGATTTTAAACAAGGACTATCACTTGTCGTAGATTTGGGTTTCTGTAAAGTTCTCCTACAACGGATCATTTATTTATTCATTCAGTTTAGCTCTTTTTTTTCAATTATGAATACCTTCACAGACTATTTGCTGGAATAAATTTCGTATCAATACATATCTATATCACTATATATTTAATAAGTAACTAATAATAACTAAATTTACATAATTATAAGCTAATTACTAGGTATAACACTCAATAAGTTAATTAATTAGTTACCTTATACCAACTGTATCCTCCTCACAGTCCCTTATAACACTGTTAACCTCCTTCTTCAGTGCCTCCAGACGAGCAGCTAATCTCTCCATTTCCCGCTCTGAGGGTGACTTAGAGCGGTATGAGGGAGACAGGGGGGACTCGTAATCTGGGGGTAATTAGTGGTAATTAGTGGTAATTAGAGCAGCTAATCTCTCCATTTCCCTTTCTGAGGGGGACTTAGAGCGGTACGAGGGGGACAGGGGGGACTCGTAATCTGGGGGTAATTAGTGGTAATTAGTGGTAATTAGTGGTAATTAGTGGTAATTAGAGCAGCTAATCTCTCCATTTCCCGCTCTGAGGGTGACTTAGAGCGGTACGAGGGGGACAGGGGGGACTCGTAATCTGGGGGTAATTAGTGGTAATTAGTGGTAATTAGTGGTGATTAGTGGTAATTAGAGCAGCTAATCTCTCCATTTCCCGTTCTGAGGGGGACTTAGAGCGGTACGAGGGGGACAGGGGGGACTCGTAATCTGGGGTAATTAGCGGTAAGTAGGGGTAATTAGTGGTAATTAGTGGTAATTAGTGGTAATTAGAGCAGCTAATCTCTCCATTTCCCGTTCTGAGGGGGACTTAGAGCGGTACGAGGGGGACAGGGGGGACTCGTAATCTGGGGTAATTAGTGGTAATTAGTGGTAATTAGTGGTAATTAGTGGTAATTAGTGGTAATTAGTGGTAATTAGTGGTAATTAGTGGTAATTAGTGGTAATTAGTGGTAATTAGTGGTAATTAGTGGTAATTAGTGGTAATTAGTAAAACTAACACTAACAGTAGTGTCTAAATAAAGTAAACTTAACAGATTACATTGAACCTTACTACTACTAGTAAACTTACTGTTACTTTTTTGTTGGGGTGCTCTAGCAGGGGGATCTGGTTGAGACTGCAACTTCAACAATTCTGCAAATCAATTTAAATAATCTATCAATAACTTATTTATTCGATCAATTGTTTCCTTAAATCAAAAGAAACAGTTAGAGTAAAAAACGAAAATATGCAAACAAAATCACCCATCAACATTGGTATGACGGGTTTGATTTAAAGTACAGGGAACAATTACCCTGAGGTACGAGGTTATTTCCACACTTTCCAGATCTTTTGCAGATACGTATCTCTATCTCCGGGGACGAATCTGCGGAAACTTGAAGTGACTGTCAGTAGTTGAGTGGGTAACTTGAAGTGACTGTCAGTAGTTGAGTGGGTAACTTGAAGTGACTGTCAGTAGTTGAGTGGGTAACTTGAAGTGACTGTCAGTAGTTGAGTGGGTAACTTGAAGTGACTGTCAGTAGTTGAGTGGGTAACTTGAAGTGACTGTCAGTAGTTGAGTGGGTAACTTGAAGTGACTGTCAGTAGTTGAGTGGGTAACTTGAAGTGACTGTCAGTAGTTGAGTGGGTAACTTGAAGTGACTGTCAGTAGTTGAGTGGGTAACTTGAAGTGACTGTCAGTAGTTGAGTGGGTAACTTGAAGTGACTGTCAGTAGTTGAGTGGGTAACTTGAAGTGACTGTCAGTAGTTGAGTGGGTAACTTGAAGTGACTGTCAGTAGTTGAGTGGGTAACTTGAAGTGACTGTCAGTAGTTGAGTGGGTAACTTGAAGTGACTGTCAGTAGTTGAGTGGGTAACTTGAAGTGACTGTCAGTAGTTGAGTGGGTAACTTGAAGTGACTGTCAGTAGTTGAGTGGGTAACTTGAAGTGACTGTCAGTAGTTGAGTGGGTAACTTGAAGTGACTGTCAGTAGTTGAGTGGGTAACTTGAAGTGACTGTCAGTAGTTGAGTGGGTAACTTGAAGTGACTGTCAGTAGTTGAGTGGGTAACTTGAAGTGACTGTCAGTAGTTGAGTGGGTAACTTGAAGTGACTGTCAGTAGTTGAGTGGGTAACTTGAAGTGACTGTCAGTAGTTGAGTGGGTAACTTGAAGTGACTGTCAGTAGTTGAGTGGGTAACTTGAAGTGACTGTCAGTAGTTGAGTGGGTAACTTGAAGTGACTGTCAGTAGTTGAGTGGGTAACTTGAAGTGACTGTCAGTAGTTGAGTGGGTAACTTGAAGTGACTGTCAGTAGTTGAGTGGGTAACTTGAAGTGACTGTCAGTAGTTGAGTGGGTAACTTGAAGTGACTGTCAGTAGTTGAGTGGGTAACTTGAAGTGACTGTCAGTAGTTGAGTGGGTAACTTGAAGTGACTGTCAGTAGTTGAGTGGGTAACTTGAAGTGACTGTCAGTAGTTGAGTGGGTAACTTGAAGTGACTGTCAGTAGTTGAGTGGGTAACTTGAAGTGACTGTCAGTAGTTGAGTGGGTAACTTGAAGTGACTGTCAGTAGTTGAGTGGGTAACTTGAAGTGACTGTCAGTAGTTGAGTGGGTAACTTGAAGTGACTGTCAGTAGTTGAGTGGGTAACTTGAAGTGACTGTCAGTAGTTGAGTGGGTAACTTGAAGTGACTGTCAGTAGTTGAGTGGGTAACTTGAAGTGACTGTCAGTAGTTGAGTGGGTAACTTGAAGTGACTGTCAGTAGTTGAGTGGGTAACTTGAAGTGACTGTCAGTAGTTGAGTGGGTAACTTGAAGTGACTGTCAGTAGTTGAGTGGGTAACTTGAAGTGACTGTCAGTAGTTGAGTGGGTAACTTGAAGTGACTGTCAGTAGTTGAGTGGGTAACTTGAAGTGACTGTCAGTAGTTGAGTGGGTAACTTGAAGTGACTGTCAGTAGTTGAGTGGGTAACTTGAAGTGACTGTCAGTAGTTGAGTGGGTAACTTGAAGTGACTGTCAGTAGTTGAGTGGGTAACTTGAAGTGACTGTCAGTAATTGAGTGGGTAACTTGAAGTGACTGTCAGTAGTTGAGTGGGTAACTTGAAGTGACTGTCAGTAGTTGAGTGGGTAACTTGAAGTGACTGTCAGTAGTTGAGTGGGTAACTTGAAGTGACTGTCAGTAGTTGAGTGGGTAACTTGAAGTGACTGTCAGTAGTTGAGTGGGTAACTTGAAGTGACTGTCAGTAGTTGAGTGGGTAACTTGAAGTGACTGTCAGTAGTTGAGTGGGTAACTTGAAGTGACTGTCAGTAGTTGAGTGGGTAACTTGAAGTGACTGTCAGTAGTTGAGTGGGTAACTTGAAGTGACTGTCAGTAGTTGAGTGGGTAACTTGAAGTGACTGTCAGTAGTTGAGTGGGTAACTTGAAGTGACTGTCAGTAGTTGAGTGGGTAACTTGAAGTGACTGTCAGTAGTTGAGTGGGTAACTTGAAGTGACTGTCAGTAGTTGAGTGGGTAACTTGAAGTGACTGTCAGTAGTTGAGTGGGTAACTTGAAGTGACTGTCAGTAGTTGAGTGGGTAACTTGAAGTGACTGTCAGTAGTTGAGTGGGTAACTTGAAGTGACTGTCAGTAGTTGAGTGGGTAACTTGAAGTGACTGTCAGTAGTTGAGTGGGTAACTTGAAGTGACTGTCAGTAGTTGAGTGGGTAACTTGAAGTGACTGTCAGTAGTTGAGTGGGTAACTTGAAGTGACTGTCAGTAGTTGAGTGGGTAACTTGAAGTGACTGTCAGTAGTTGAGTGGGTAACTTGAAGTGACTGTCAGTAGTTGAGTGGGTAACTTGAAGTGACTGTCAGTAGTTGAGTGGGTAACTTGAAGTGACTGTCAGTAGTTGAGTGGGTAACTTGAAGTGACTGTCAGTAGTTGAGTGGGTAACTTGAAGTGACTGTCAGTAGTTGAGTGGGTAACTTGAAGTGACTGTCAGTAGTTGAGTGGGTAACTTGAAGTGACTGTCAGTAGTTGAGTGGGTAACTTGAAGTGACTGTCAGTAGTTGAGTGGGTAACTTGAAGTGACTGTCAGTAGTTGAGTGGGTAACTTGAAGTGACTGTCAGTAGTTGAGTGGGTAACTTGAAGTGACTGTCAGTAGTTGAGTGGGTAACTTGAAGTGACTGTCAGTAGTTGAGTGGGTAACTTGAAGTGACTGTCAGTAGTTGAGTGGGTAACTTGAAGTGACTGTCAGTAGTTGAGTGGGTAACTTGAAGTGACTGTCAGTAGTTGAGTGGGTAACTTGAAGTGACTGTCAGTAGTTGAGTGGGTAACTTGAAGTGACTGTCAGTAGTTGAGTGGGTAACTTGAAGTGACTGTCAGTAGTTGAGTGGGTAACTTGAAGTGACTGTCAGTAGTTGAGTGGGTAACTTGAAGTGACTGTCAGTAGTTGAGTGGGTAACTTGAAGTGACTGTCAGTAGTTGAGTGGGTAACTTGAAGTGACTGTCAGTAGTTGAGTGGGTAACTTGAAGTGACTGTCAGTAGTTGAGTGGGTAACTTGAAGTGACTGTCAGTAGTTGAGTGGGTAACTTGAAGTGACTGTCAGTAGTTGAGTGGGTAACTTGAAGTGACTGTCAGTAGTTGAGTGGGTAACTTGAAGTGACTGTCAGTAGTTGAGTGGGTAACTTGAAGTGACTGTCAGTAGTTGAGTGGGTAACTTGAAGTGACTGTCAGTAGTTGAGTGGGTAACTTGAAGTGACTGTCAGTAGTTGAGTGGGTAACTTGAAGTGACTGTCAGTAGTTGAGTGGGTAACTTGAAGTGACTGTCAGTAGTTGAGTGGGTAACTTGAAGTGACTGTCAGTAGTTGAGTGGGTAACTTGAAGTGACTGTCAGTAGTTGAGTGGGTAACTTGAAGTGACTGTCAGTAGTTGAGTGGGTAACTTGAAGTGACTGTCAGTAGTTGAGTGGGTAACTTGAAGTGACTGTCAGTAGTTGAGTGGGTAACTTGAAGTGACTGTCAGTAGTTGAGTGGGTAACTTGAAGTGACTGTCAGTAGTTGAGTGGGTAACTTGAAGTGACTGTCAGTAGTTGAGTGGGTAACTTGAAGTGACTGTCAGTAGTTGAGTGGGTAACTTGAAGTGACTGTCAGTAGTTGAGTGGGTAACTTGAAGTGACTGTCAGTAGTTGAGTGGGTAACTTGAAGTGACTGTCAGTAGTTGAGTGGGTAACTTGAAGTGACTGTCAGTAGTTGAGTGGGTAACTTGAAGTGACTGTCAGTAGTTGAGTGGGTAACTTGAAGTGACTGTCAGTAGTTGAGTGGGTAACTTGAAGTGACTGTCAGTAGTTGAGTGGGTAACTTGAAGTGACTGTCAGTAGTTGAGTGGGTAACTTGAAGTGACTGTCAGTAGTTGAGTGGGTAACTTGAAGTGACTGTCAGTAGTTGAGTGGGTAACTTGAAGTGACTGTCAGTAGTTGAGTGGGTAACTTGAAGTGACTGTCAGTAGTTGAGTGGGTAACTTGAAGTGACTGTCAGTAGTTGAGTGGGTAACTTGAAGTGACTGTCAGTAGTTGAGTGGGTAACTTGAAGTGACTGTCAGTAGTTGAGTGGGTAACTTGAAGTGACTGTCAGTAGTTGAGTGGGTAACTTGAAGTGACTGTCAGTAGTTGAGTGGGTAACTTGAAGTGACTGTCAGTAGTTGAGTGGGTAACTTGAAGTGACTGTCAGTAGTTGAGTGGGTAACTTGAAGTGACTGTCAGTAGTTGAGTGGGTAACTTGAAGTGACTGTCAGTAGTTGAGTGGGTAACTTGAAGTGACTGTCAGTAGTTGAGTGGGTAACTTGAAGTGACTGTCAGTAGTTGAGTGGGTAACTTGAAGTGACTGTCAGTAGTTGAGTGGGTAACTTGAAGTGACTGTCAGTAGTTGAGTGGGTAACTTGAAGTGACTGTCAGTAGTTGAGTGGGTAACTTGAAGTGACTGTCAGTAGTTGAGTGGGTAACTTGAAGTGACTGTCAGTAGTTGAGTGGGTAACTTGAAGTGACTGTCAGTAGTTGAGTGGGTAACTTGAAGTGACTGTCAGTAGTTGAGTGGGTAACTTGAAGTGACTGTCAGTAGTTGAGTGGGTAACTTGAAGTGACTGTCAGTAGTTGAGTGGGTAACTTGAAGTGACTGTCAGTAGTTGAGTGGGTAACTTGAAGTGACTGTCAGTAGTTGAGTGGGTAACTTGAAGTGACTGTCAGTAGTTGAGTGGGTAACTTGAAGTGACTGTCAGTAGTTGAGTGGGTAACTTGAAGTGACTGTCAGTAGTTGAGTGGGTAACTTGAAGTGACTGTCAGTAGTTGAGTGGGTAACTTGAAGTGACTGTCAGTAGTTGAGTGGGTAACTTGAAGTGACTGTCAGTAGTTGAGTGGGTA